TTCTCACTTATTGGTGGGAGCTAAAAATAAATAAATAAATTCACACACACGCACACACACAAAAAAAACGGGGGTGGGGGTGAAGAAGACATAACAACTACAGTTCCTTGAAGTTCATACGACAAGCAAACAGAAAGAACATTGTTGGGTGGGAGCGGGGAGAGGGAGGAGGGTGGGAGGTTTCGGTAATGAGCCACAATAATCAACCACATTGTATGTCGACAAAATAAAAGTTAAGAAAAAAAAAAAAGGTAGGGATCCCTTGATAAGGTGGGAACAAACAGCATGAGAGACATGAGATTTAGTTCTAGTCACACTATTAACAAACTGGGAAACCCAAGTCAAACTGGGAAACCTAGGCTTTCTCATTACTTGTAAAATAAAGCCTTTCCTTATGATTCTATGTAATTAAGTGTGAATAGGAAAACATGATATAATAGTCTCATATCTTAACATCTGAATGTGCTTCATAAAATGTTCTATCCTTAGTCATTAAGAAGAATGACATTAGTACATTTATTTCTCTTCAAGTGAGCCAGGCTTCATGACATATTTCTGAAGAAAACTCTGCACTAACTGAACACTTCTGGAACATTTCTCCCAATCCTACATAGAAAATCCTCAAGGGGCTATTCTCTAGAGAAGGGGACACATGACCCTCTATCCCAAATCAGACACAAACAGCAATTTCTTCTTAAATGAGATAGTCATTCCGATATCTAGTCAAACATTGTCAGTAACTACTATCCCAAATACTGCCAAACTTAAGCAAAATGTATGGCCCTACTTTAACATACAATTGTAATAATATTAAAACTATTGGCAATTTTCCACAGACAACAGGAAGTGTGAGGCATGCCTCTTGACTAAGTTTTGCTTTAAGTAAACTGACAAAATACAGAAAAATCTTAAAATACATTACATAAGAATTTTTCACTTCATTAAAAAAATATATATATACATATACATCCTAACAGCAACTGCCAATAACAGATTTCTCCAGTATTAAGATACCACACAAACCAAGGTATATTTAACAGTTACAAGGACCAGGACAGTGACAACCCATCAACCGAGTATAATAATAACTGCCTTTGTAGCGAAGCTGATTTTGATAATGAAATTTTAAAACATACAGAAAATCACTTTTAAACTCTGAGCAGTCACTCAATCCAACCTCTCATAAATATTTAAATAATGTATATGAGTTTAATAAACTAGAATTTACTGAAATACATAAAATATTACATTATAATCCAGTGAAAATTATTAGAAAATTAAAGCTCAATATAAAAAAAACCTCATTTTCAATTTTTTAGAAATATTGTAGAATACGGAGGGAAGAATAAATCAATAAGGATATTCCCCTTATAGGCTAATATCTGTTTTCCATTGAAGGTAGAAAAAACTGAATCAGGGAGAAAAAAAGTTTTAATTAATATATTATCTAGCACATATAATTTAATAGTATTACCATTCCCAAAAGGGATGATAAATTAATACTCACTTTTAAAGAAATGAAACCTACCATGTATGAAGGTAAAGATTTTAGTGTCCCTGGTTCAGGTCGGTGTGTAAAAGGGCCTTCGAGCACTCCTCTCTTAAGCATATGCAATAACAGTTTTGCATACAGGTTCCGATTCCTCCTGCCCATTATTCCTGCACCTGTTCCTGAAGGCTCACACAGTTTTCTAATCCAAAGAGCACACCTTTGCCGTTCTACAAATACATAAGAACTATTAGAAACTTATTTTTTCAGAAAATAAAACATGAAATTACCAAGATCTATAATAGCATCTGCTTTAGTCTAAAATAGGGATCAGCAAATTTTTTCTTTAAAGGGCCAGATAGTAAATACTTAAGGCTTTGCAGGCCATATGATCTCTGTTGCCACTACTCAACTCTGCCACTGTAGCATGAAAGCAGTCACAGACCATATGCAAACAAATGGCATGGCTGTGTTCCAATTAAACTTTACAGAAAAGGTGGTGGGCTGGAGTTGGTCCATGGGCCATGGTCTGCTGACTCCCAGTCTGGAATTTAACTTGTTTAATTAGTTAACTGGTAACTGGGCAAGACAAATGCAAAGAAATATTTTCACAAAAATAAAATATCTGCTGGGCCGGCCCGGTGGCGCACTGTGCTAGTGCGCCGCTTGGGAAGCACGGAGG